GATTCAAACCAAATGGTAACCTGCGAAACTTGTAACTACCAAACGGAGTAGCTTCGCGGTTCACTTTTTTAATTCACTAAAAAATGATCAAATGGCTCATCTGTACCTTGATTACGGCTATTGTATACAAAGCGTTCATAGGTTTTATTTTTTCTCGGAGCACAGTAATTTTTGAATTCGGTTATGAGACTGTCAAACTTATCTCTATCTGGGCAAACATGAAGGTATAGTGACAAGCCGAATGCAAAGTGCCCTAAACATCGTTAAAAATTGGAGCGAAGGCGAAGGACTATCCCTAAACGCAAACAAAACAATCCTTGTCCCGTTCACAAGAAGAAGGAAGCTAAATTTGAAAGCCCCGACCCTTAACGGTACACAACTAACATTTTCCAACGAAGTGAAGTACTTAGGGGTCACCCTGGACCAAACCCTCACTTGGAACAAACAGTTAGAGAAAACATGCTCTCGAGCTACATCAGCCATTTGGTCATGCCGAAGACTTGTCTACAAAACATGGGGGCTAAAGCCAAAGATGGTATTCTGGATCTACCAAACCATAATAAAGCCCATGGTCACATACGCCTCATTGGTGTGGTGGCCCAAAACCCAACAAGTCACCGCTCAGATTAAGCTAAGAAAGGTGCAAAGGCTGATATGTCTAGGAATAACGGGAGCAATGTCAACTTGCCCCACCGCAGCCCTAGAGACGCTACTCAACATGCCCCACTTCACCTATGTGTGAAAAAGGAGGCAATAACCAGCGCTCACAGGCTATTCCAAATAGACAAGTTCAAGCCTGGCGATCTGAGGGGACATCTGAGAATCCTTGATCTAATAAAACTGGAGAATGCCAGCAAACCAAGTGACCACATGATGGTCAGATTGGACATAGAGATCCCCTTCGCAGTGGTAATAAACGACCGCCAATCATGGGAGAATAAAGAACTACCACAAGCAGACAATGCATCTCTGTGGTACACAGATGGATCCAAGCTGACGGAAGGAGCTGGACTGGGCATTTCCGGCCCTAACTTCAAGCTCTCCAAGGCATTGGGTAAACATCTTACAATATTTCAAGCCGAACTGCTTGCCATAGATATATGTGCACAAGAGTGTCTTAACCAAAGCCTCAAAAGAAAACACATCTTCATACTATCGGACAGCCAAGCTGCCTTAAAAGCCTTAAGGGCTTTCAAATGCACGTCAAAACTAGTCTGGGAGTGTAAACAGACCCTAAAAACACTAGCGACACATAACCAGGTAACGCTGATGTGGCTGCCTGGTCACCGAGGCATAGAAGGAAACGAAGAAGCAGATGGCCTCGCAAAGGAAGGGGCCTCAACACCATACCACGGACCAGAGCCCTACTGTGGCTTAATGAAAAGCCACATCATGGAAGAACTCAACAAATGGGAGAAAGACCAACTGTCATCATATTGGAGGCACACACCGGGACTCAGACAGTCAAAAAGGTTTATTACCCTTTCAGCAAAAAGAGCTGAACAGGTCCTAAACATGAGCAGACCAGACAACAGATTGGTGGTGGGACTGCTCACAGGACACTGCCCAGTAAAATACCATTTAAGGTTAATGGGCAGAGCGGAAGACGATCTCTGCAGATTCTGCTCAGACGCAATAGAAACCGCAGAGCACCTGCTTTGCGAATGTCCAGCCCAATTCTGCAAGAGGCTCAAATTCCTCGAGGGGGCAACACTGTCACCTGAAGAAGTGGGCCAACTGACACCCAGGAAAATAGCTTCCTTCAGCAGAAGTCTACGCTTCCTGGAGACAAATTAAAATGTAGAGTCACGCACAAAATATATGCAAAGGTAACAGTGCTGAGCGGCTGAAAAGCCGAAACGACTCCCCCGAAATCTACAAATCTACAATCTATCTTTATCTGGAATCTTTAATATGTTATATATTTCAGAACCAATCAGGTTAAAAAACAATGAAATTTTTACCTTATCTGGCTTTGAATCCTTTTCAGTTGCAATTAGGTAGGTCTCAAAATACACTCCTGGACATAAAAAACCGGACAAACAAAATTTTGTTAAATTTCAATCCTAAATAATTTTTCCAATTTTGCATCGAAATTGATCATTTTTTGTCAAATGGTAGGCGCGTTTATCTTGATCATTATTTAATATTGTGTTTGCAAAAAGTTCGAATGGATTTGGTGTTATACAGGGTGGAACCATAAGTTGCATTTGGTCCCAAACTTCTGAACACTCTGTGGAATAACTTAACGACACAATCAAGCGTATTTGCAGGACATTCTTAAGCCTTATCATTTCTTAACATGTCTTTTTTCAATTCATATCAATATCTTCAATCTCAAAGGAAGCACAAGTTCTTAAAGTAGCAATGCAATATAAACCAATAACAAAAATTAAACACATTACAGATAACTTTAACAAATAAACAAACACTAATGTTGGGTATTACCTCCATGTGCTCTAATAACTGCTGCCATGCGACGTGGTAATCTCTCAATACAATTGGCAATAGCTCTTTACGGAATATTTTCCCACTCTTCGAGACGAGCTCTTCGAAGATCTGGAATGATTTCCGGTTGTCGACTGCGAATTAGCCTCCGTAACATGTCCCACACATGCTCAATCGGGTTCAGATCAGGGCTACGTGGAGGCCAGTTTAATCGTTGAATCCCTGCTTCATCAAGATAATCACTGACAACTGTTGCGACATGAGGCCTGGCATTTTCATGCATCAATGAAAAATTTTCCCCAACAAATGGAGCAAAAGGAATAACGTGGACCGCTAAACATTCCTCAATATAACGGTTAGCAGTTTAAGCGCCATTTTCGATAAAAACCAGGGCAGTACGGACATAAACAAAGCCACTTATTGGTCGCAAGATGCCATTTTGCACGACAATACATGTAAAACTGATTCCAACCTGCAGGGACACGGCATTTTGTGACCAATCAGGGACAAGCGGTATTGTTTACCTTCCAAAGTTTTCAATGTCCAAATCCATCTTGAGGAAAAATACACTTTAGAAGTGTTTATTTTCGTTTGTTTCTTTATCGGAAGTGTCAGTGTATCCTTATTCAGAGGATGAATTGTTTTTCAATATGCGATCCGAAGCTGTTGCACGAGCTGTTGCATTGAATGATGATGGACGTGATATACGCTACATCGCTAATGTGTTGGGCAGAGCCAGAAGCACTGTACACGATGCAATTAGTCGCTTTCGTCAGACTGGTGAGTACACACGACGCCGACGTCCAGGATCTGGGAGACCCCGCGTCACAAACCAGCGAGATGATCATTTTATTACCGTAACTGCTTTACGAGACCGAAAAGTAACATCCTGATGTTATTAGTCATCGACTTGAAAATGTACGTGGCATAAGAGCTTTCTGGACAAACCGTTTGGCGTAGACATGAACAAGGATTGATGTCAAGGAGACCGGCTGCTTATCCAGCTTCACAAGCAGCCCATCGTACTCAACGGTTAAATTTTGCCCGTGTCCATAGAGAGACTGGAATGACGGAGAGTGGGGATGTGTCACCCGATGGACGAGAGCCTGTATGGCGAAGACGGGGAGACGATTGACGATTTTGCGACTGTTGCATTTCTCCAAGAACACCTTTTGGACGCGGTAGTATCATGGTGTGGGCTGGAATTACACCTCACGCCCGTACTGCCCTGGTTTTTATCGAAAATGAAGATAAAATGCTAACCGTTATATTGAGGAATGTTAAGCGGTCCACGTTATTCCTTTTGCTCCATTTGTTGGAGAAATTTTTTCTTTGATGCACGACAATACCAGGCCTCATGTCGCAAGAGTTGTCAGTGATTATCTTGATGAAGCAGGGATTCAACGATTGGACTGGCCTCCACGTAGCCCTGATCTGAACCCCATTGAGCATGTGTGGGACATGTTAGGGAGGCTAATTCGCAATCGACAACCGGAAATCATTCCAGATCTTCGAAGAGCTCGTCTCGAAGAGTCGGAAAACATTCCGCAAAGAGCTATTGCCAATTGTATTGAGAGATTACCACGTCGCATGGCAGCAGTTATTAGAGCACATGGAGGTAATACCCAATATTAGTGTTTGTTTATTTGTTAAAGTTATCTGTAATGTTTTTAATTTTTGTTATTGGTATAAATTGCATTGCTACTCTAAGAACTTGTGCTTCCTTTGAGATTGAAGATATTGATATGAATTGAAAAAAGAAATTAAGAAATGATAAGGCTTAAGAATGTCCTGCAAATACGCATGATTGTGTCGTTGAGTTATTCCACAGAGTCTTCAGAAGTTTGGGACCAAATGCAACTTATGGTTCCACCCTGTATAACACCAAATCCATTCGACCTTTTTGCAAACACAATATTGAATAATGATCAAGATAAACGCGCCTACCATTTGACAAAAAATGATCAATTTCGATGCAAAATGGGAAAAATTATTAAGGATTAAAATTTCACAAAATTTTGTTTGTCCGGTTTTTTATGTCCAGGAGTGTATCTATTATTACAGCACCAATACTGAAAAATGAGTTCTTGTTGAGAAAATTGATTTCATAGGTAGCAAGTAAAACGCTTGGACATTTTAATGGACGTTTAATGTAGCACGAATAGGTAAGCTTGTGGCGCAGTGGTGTGCTACGTGGAGTCATTTTTCAGGATTGGTGCAATGATAATTTTTAATCAGAAAGTCGTGATCTACATTATATACAAAATTTAGCCAATTCTGACATAAACACAATTTATGTATACTTTGGGCAGGGTCGTTTGAATAGATTTTAACAACAACAAAATTAGAAATTATGAGTACCAAATCAAAATTTGGATTTAAGAAAAATATATTGAACTTTATTAAAACAATGTAGCTCAGGAGTTTATATCCCATGAGATACTTCTTTAAGAACAATTAACTCTAAAGACGCCTCATCATAGGATAGTTCAAAGCAAAAACAGCTATAAAAATTTCATAACAACTTGTCCATAATAATTTCTTTAGATTGGGTTTTGATCAATAATTTTTGAAATAAATATCTTTGTCTTATAGGTGGGTATACTTGGTTTTATTAACAATACCTTTATCTAATGTATTATTCTTAAATAGACGGAATGCTTTCTCGTGCAACAAAACACACTTCTAGGACTCTGTTCCAAACCGCAATTAGGACATTTACTGCACCAGTCTCTTCCACCGTGAAGTACCCATCCGGAAAATGGGCATACCAGTCGGTGTACAATGATGTGTTGAACAAAAAACGCTAAAAAGAAGGTTTAATCAATGGCTATTGAAAAATTTAATATACTTACAAGTCCCAAGGAATAATACATAGACCAGTATTGCAAATAGTACCGCTTCTGACAAATTTGAATCAAGAATTTCAGGGTCTCTGGGCATTTTACAAAAACTCAGGAATATTTAATATTTGTCAGGAAGATGTCAGTTTTTTTTTTCAGAATGCTGACAGACAGATCTAAATAGATTTGCCCTACGAACACCTCGGGATTTTTTGGTAGCCATAATAAGTTCTAATCTACAAAAGTGGATAACCGCTTACCTGATCAAGAGGTTACAGGCCTCTTTGTTGGCCAAAATTTTGGAACATACCTACTTATGATATCTGGAAAATGTGATACGAGTCGTGAAGCATATTGTGTAAAAATTAAAAAACATTCATTGATGAAATAGGCCGGAATGATATTTCAGGTAGGTATATCACTGTGATTCAGCATGATTTTCTCCAACTGAAGCTACAATACATTAACATGCACACTGTAGTGTTTGAACCTTGGTTTTATATTAATTTAGTTTATTAATGTACTCCCCTAATGTCAATAGAACAGTTGTGTCAAGTCATTAGTCTAGTAATAACGTTAGTTTCATATTCTCCATAATTTAGTGTCTTTTCAATAGAATTAACGTTCCCCAGTTATTAAACGTGTATGATTTAGAAGTCTGGATACATAACACACACAAACTCATGTTGCATGAGAAGTAAATTAAACATGTAGGAGTATACTGAACATGTTCCAATTTCCTCCATGCAAAACCTAGCTCTCCAAGAGTTTCACTGTTCATGTTATGTGGTAATTGAGCAGCATAGGTATAGAAGTGGGAAAGCTGGGCTTAAAATGGTATTCCGTTTGTGAACATTGTGGAGTAAGCTTTTGTTGTATTAGACTATCCAAGATGCTGTCAAACTTAAAATAAAATGTCCGCCAAGAGGCACACAGATCCTTTGTTTATGTGTCATTCAATGTGTCATCAAAATTAAAAAAAAAAAAAAATAGTGCTCATTGTTCATTTGCGTTTTGATACCTACTCAAAACTGTTGTTTTTACTCGTACTTTTATTAATGTTAGAAATAGTGTATTCAAGTAGTCCGCCAACACATCAACAGCAGAGTCAGGAAGATTCAAGATACCCTAACTGAGATATCGTCCGATCCAGAAGATTTTCTATTTTTTATACTCAGTTCCTGAGCAATCGTACAGTAGTAATTAATATTATCTACTTTCAAATTGGAAGCACATATGTATATTTCTTAATTTTTTGTTTCACGTAGGTCGTTACTCTTTTTGATTAATGATTACTGGATGTGGATGCCAACCTTTCATTGTAATAAATCTTCCTTGCCTGTTTCATCGTATTTCTGTACATGCTCCTGTATCCATTATTTAAAGAAGGTCATAAAAAATATATTATCAATATCAAGCGCAAACTTTCTTAAGGAATGAGGACACCTAAATTTTCTAGAAGCAATTCTTAAACCTTTTGTGATACAAGGCTTTTTCTTTTTCGATTTTAACTTGACTAACGGAAATGCATGGTTAAAAATTTCAATATTCTCACAATGAAATGAATGCAGAGCATTTACCTTCAGCAAAATCGTTCTCCAATCAAATCTAGAGCAAACTTGTGAAAAACCTTAGGAAAAAACAATACAAATCAAAGCACAACACTGGACGGTGGAGTTGCAACAAATAAATATTTTTACATTTTAAGGGTAGGTCCTGGGTGTCCAAGTGAAATGTAAGTAGAGCAATCTTGCCCAAACAATAGGGATTCCATAATTGGGTAGAAACGGCCAAAAGTTGAGACGCACACAATAGAAAATGAGTATTTGATTATGATCATTAATGACATAACCTAATGACGTTATGGTTTGTGTTTGTGTCAAATTTTTGTGTGCCTCTTGCCGGCCATATTTGTGTCACGTGTTTTGGATAGTCTAATGGAGGCGCCAAGGTGTACAGAATATTTGACAGCTGATTCGACATTTCATATCGATGTTCGGAAACTAGGTCGATCGCGGTTATTCCGGAATTTACACGAATAGATTGGCGATATATAAAGGCCGGAATTAGTTTGTAGTTTTTAAGTTTAAGTTTGGCTGTTATTCGATTAAGGCCCAGTTGTACAATCTTGGTTCAAAACAGAGTTCAGCTGAACTCGACTGGCACTTGAACTTTTTCATTTGAAATGCGTTGCTGTCAAAAATGAATTTGATTAATAGCTGACAGCAATGCATTTTAAATGGGAAAGCTCAAGTACCAGTCGAGTTCAGTTGAACTTTGTTTTGAACCGAGATTGTACAACTGGGCCTTAGATAGGGAATATTGTCAAGAGTTGTAAAGAGTTGTTTGAGTTATTTAGTGAAGTAATTAGTGTCAGAGTGTATAGTAAAGTGGAATAAATTATTGCTGTGTTAAGGCCGCGTTAATGGCCGCCATGTTTAAATTTAGTTTTTGAAAATGACGACTGCGCCACTCTACACATACAGTTCAATATTTTATTTTTTGTCCATAACAAAATCTGTTTGTCGGTGAAACACTTAGATAGATAGATAGATGTTTATTTCCAAGGATCACATACAGGATATAGGAAAATATTTACAGATAAAATTTGCATTACATACTAATCAATAACGTAACATTATAAATAATTAAATACCTACTTATAACAATAAGCATAAGAATAATCAAATAATATACCTATTACAATTTTTATGAAGTATTCTTTCATATCTTCCACTGCGTAAAGTTTAGAAACTCCCCCACTGTATAGAATGCATTTTCCAATAAAATATTTTTAATAAAACATAAGAACTCATTCTGATTTAATTGACGTTTGCTAATAGGTATCTTGTTATACAAAATAGCCCCTATGTAGTAAGGATTTGCTTTGTAAAGCTCAAGACGATGAACGTCATATTGATAATCAAGTCCAAATCTAGTTGTGTAATCATGATGCAGATTTAGAGCTTTAAAAGCATTTGAGTTATCCCTTACAAATTTCAAGATTTCGAAAATGTATAAACAAGGCATAGTCATGATTTTTTCAGAAATAAATTTTTGTCTACAAGATTCCCTAAACTTCATATTATACATTAATCGAATAGCCCTTTTTTGCATTATAAAGACTCTCTGTGAAGCAGAGGTTGCACCCCAAAGCACAATCCCATATCTAATACATGATTCAATAACTGAAAAATAAAACATTCTTACAGTGCTTCTACTTGTTATTTGAGACAGACGACATAAAGCAAAACAACTCTTTGCACACTTATTGCATACATAATTTATCTGCTCTCTCCAGTTTAATGACATGTCAACATGGATACCCAAAAGTTTCACAGTATTAACCTGCCTTATTGATCTGCCATTCAAGAGAATGTATTGACTTTGACTGACTTAGTGAAAGAGAAAGACAAATATACAATTATGATGCTCCCAATGTAGCTTTTTTGCTGTGGCGCCATCTACTTGAAATTGCTTGAACTGTTTTCACCTTCAAAATTCGTTTTAGGGTCATCTAAAAAAATCCGCAATAATTTCCAAAATCCTTTGGCATAAACATTATTTGATATATTATCTACAATCTCTACAATTAGCTTTTTTTTTAGTTTTTCGTGGTTATCAATAAAATATGCTTTTCACGGATCCAAGCTTGATAAATATGCAAATATGCAACCACCAACACATTTAGTTGTTTTGGTGGTTGCTAACATGATTTTTGAATGAAAAAAAAAAGGCTGAATATCGAAAAACCAAAATAAGGAATTGTAGATAATCGATCAAATAATGTTTATGCTAAATTTGAGCCAATTCTGATGTGCCGTTTTATTAGAGACCTTAAAACCAGTTTCGAAAAATCAACTAATCAGAGCACTGCATTCTCATCGTTGTTGCGGTCTTAATTGGACTTTGATTTTTGAATAAACGGACCCAAGAATTGTGTCACGCAAGCCAGAACCGTGACAGTATTGTACAAAACTGAAAAGGACAACATGACCCACCTAAAAACGATTCATTGGTTTTTCTCATTCTTTGCCTCATACTACGCTACCTTAGTACTGAAATGATGAAATTTCAAATTTATTGAGATTTATTTTGTGTTTAACTTATCATTTGGGACCCCCAAAACTACACACACAAAATTATTTTGTGATTTGCAACCGAAATCTTTAAAAAAAGGACGTCAAGAAATTTGAAAAATTGAAGAATTGACCCCACATTGCTCAATGCGATTTTATTTCAGGAACTATGAGTCAAAATGAGATCACGGATTGTAGTCCTCTACTACCTTAACTAAAAACTGAAGTAAATTATGTCACTTTTCCTATAACAAAAAGAAAACTGCGTTCCATTTTTCCCATTGTAAAGACTTCGCTTCTAGCCTTTACCTATTATCATCAAAATTTGTTCTCAATTGTGACCCTTTTGTCGCAACAGTCGCCCTAATTTGATTTCCAGTAAAAGTAAATTTAGAATTGACAAAGAATGGCAACAACGAGCTCTTTCTCAACCATTACTTTAATTTTATTTAAAAAAAGTAAAAATGGAAACCAACTTGAAAGTGAGCAAAACTTATTTTAAATTAAGTATAGTCGAGCAATTAAAGTTTATAGTATGGAACAAAGCAACTGAAGCACCATAATAATTTTTCTATATTCTATTCCTTCGGGATTCAAGGGAACTGGAAGCTATTTCCAGATTTCCCTAGCGATTTATGTTGCGACGTTAATTTTTTACTAAGTAAATGTGTGTAGGTACAGGCGCGCGACTTAACCCCAAAAAAACTTGTTCGCCGTTTATCGAAAAAAGCTAATCATACCCAATATCTAAATCTATGCATAAACATTTCCCAGTATGTCCCAAAGTGGTCGTTATCTTTGCTATACAACGTTATGATGGACACGTCAAAAAATAAACAAATATATTTGATGGATCACTAATATGAATTAGATGAAAAATGCATATTAATGGTTTTCCTTTTTTTTTTCAGTAATGTTAATTAAATTAATTTTTCTTGTAATTGTTATCTAGTGATTGTTAATTTGTTTGCGTACTTAATGGGTTATCTGCATCTGGTATATGGCATTAGCTTGGACGCTGGAATTATGATTTTCCGTTGTTGTTGCAGCTAAAATTTTGTACCTATTGTTACACCGCTGGCTATACAAGATAAACTGACACATTTTAGAGATGAATATCTCGAAAACGAGAAAAGATAACGGGATGCGGTTTGTTCTGGAAGAATAAGGATTTTTTAAAGTTTTTTTTTATGATATTGACGAATCCTGAAATTTGGTTTCACAGACATTCGATTTTTTGAAATAAAAACATACTGCCTTATTCTTGATGAAACACCCAGTATATTTTGTCATCATCAGAAAACGTGACTTTTTTAGTTCACAAAAATGTTTAATTTTTTTCAATTATCATGAAATTAAATCGTAAAAATTGCACTTGGTTGAAGGGCGAACTGTCGATTGGACCAAAAAAAATGATAAGAATTAATTTGTGTTTTAAATGCACTTA